TTATCAAGAAGACTGACAATTACTGAGTTCGCCTTATTTTCTTGAGATGGTATGCGCCACAAACCAAACTGGGCTTCAACATGAGGGAACCATAAAGGTGGTCGATTGACACAGAACGTAAGGAGTGTCAAAGTAACTGCTGGCCATGGTAAGATAAGGTACGTCATATAAAATGATAAAAATGCCACAATTATGAGGTAGGACAAAGCCTAAAATGAATAAAACGTATTCATTAATTCAACACTCTACCTAACCTGCAAGTACTGATGACAAAATGAAAACCGAGAAGACTTAGTTACTGAAGGAAAGTGCTCAAGTTTGCTCTATATTTGAATAAGATTAAAGGCAAAGATTATCTGATAAAAACGTCTATAGCCTATGTCAACTAACTCTCAGAAACTGTCAATGTCCAGCTCTTACTACGCTGCACCTCACGCTGTCCCTGGAAGACTTTCAGAAACAATTTGTAATAACCAGCGCGAAAACCAGAACACGGATTGGCGACCCCAGAATCCTTTATTCTTACGCCAATATGTAGCCAACAATAAGGTTATTGCACACAAGGTCTAAGAATAAATGTTATAACAATAAATCACGATACTACTTCTGGTAGTTTTCTATCTTCCAGTGAACAGCGAACGATTAGACGATGACTGCTTTTATATTTATTTATTTTTTTATATTTTTGATTACAGCTTGGTTCCACACCGTATTTTTGGTACAAGTATGGAATTTTCAGCATGGATATCGGTGGCCCGAATTTCGCATGCCGACCATAGATATCAAGGTGTGCGTCGGCGTGGGCTCGAACCCCGGATCATGTGCATGGTCGGCGAGAGTGCTAACCACTGTGCCACCGACGCACATTTGAAGCACCTACATTCCACTGAGTAGCTGTCAGTTTTCAAAACTATCGTTGGTAATAAACGGAAGATGAATTCTATCTTACTTGAAAGTGGTACAACGAAGACAGTTGTTGTCCTGTGTTTCCCTCATCAAATAGAGGCCTATGCAATGAAAACCAACACCAGTGTCACTTAGATATGTTGCATATGATCAACTGCTATCTGAGATTATATATATATATATCTGATGTCTTTACTGCGGGAAGATGAATATGTAAAAAATCTCTTTGTCTATGACAAACATTCCCTACGTGAATATTTGAAAACGGAATTCACATCAACTTGGTGTATAGAAGTATATGGATAAAGTAAGAAATCACCATCAAGAGTAGCATAGATTCGTTTCGTACAAACTGACAGGAGTTCATCTGTTACAAGAGCAGTTGGGATGTTCTTTCAATTTCAACAGTAAACTAACCCCAATTCCTTCAGCTCACATTCATCAAATCACACTATCTGAAGATGTAATCTGAATTACGAAGAGGATGAGGTTAATTACAGTCGCCTTCTGACAGTTTCTGGTAAATTGTAGGCAACATTGGATGCGATCACGCGGTAATTTAATGGCACGAAGTGTTTATTTTTTATTTTTGACTACAGCTTGATTCCACACTGTATTTTTGGTAAAAGTATGGGATTTTCGGCATGTGTTATCGGTAGCCCAAATTTCGCAGGCCGGCAGGGGATCGAACCTCGGACCATTTGCTTGGTCGGAGAGAGTCCTAACCACTGTGCCACCGACGCACATATTCTTCATGTCACTTGTGAATCAAGGATTTCAATTGCGATTGAATTCAATAATTGTGCATTACAATCAAGCAGGCATACTACAAAAAAATATTGAACTTTTTCTGAGGTATGAGTAGAGAGGACATTGTAGTGAAATTCAAATTAACTACAAGGCGGATTTAATTATACTCACATGCACATCTTGTCCAATAAATATCTCTTCAAACAGAGTAATGGTTAATTAGCTAATGTTGAAATTGTATCCTTTAACGGAGTTTATGTCGGGCGTTTGTCTCTCTCCTATTGATTTCAAAAACGAACTACATCACTTAGTTTAAGTAGCTTACACAGGATCAGATACACACGGGGAAACAATAGGGGGAATGAGAACTTAGAATCAACCATCCACAAACCCCATTTCAATCGTATCAGTTTATAAGTGTTTGTTATCACTCACGTACTTTGCATCGTTCAGGGAAGAGAACTGGAGAAAACTGTAGTTAATGGGTTAACCACCCCCTACAATCAAAGTGTACTATGTTTAAATTTGTGTGGTTATCTTAATAGAATCTATAAAAGCCATAGGTTGTTGAGTGAGTGTATTGCATTTTTCTTGTCACCGTGATATGCGTCATATTTACCTGATTTAGTGCAAAAGAGATCACCGAAAAGTAATCGTCGAGTTTATTTATGCAGACTTTCACGATTGTGATGAGAGCTGCCTGAAAACAAGCCAAAATTGTAAACAACAATTTAAGTCAGTGTTACGTCTCGAATCAGGATCATGAGAAAATGATAAGAAAGCTTAACCTTGAGGAACTCACCAAACAATCATAGTGTACTTAACGTGTGCAAATAGGATTCGCAGATATATGGCTTAACTCCCTGAGAAACAAACACAAGAGACAAAGCAAGAAAACAACCAATCAGAAGACGCTGCTGCTCCGCTGACAATAATGTATATATATAAATACTATTATTTGGAAATCTATAAATATCTCTTCATTTTCTCAATAAATAATCTGTTGCCTGTTTCTTGTCTCCTGTAGTTACACACTTATATTTTATTTCATTTTCGACGACTTTAATACAATAATTACTAGAATAAGTGGATATTTGAAATGCGTTGCACATGGCCCTTAATGTAGAGTATTTGCAAATATGTACACAGTGCAAATAATGGTTCCTCCAAACACTGAATAGTGAATCTTATTGTTCGTTAATTATTTGTAAAAGGGAGTTGTTTGACGATCCGATTTTTTTCAGGGTAGATCACATCATAGGGTGATGCCGGTTAAAGATTTATCGAAAATGAGGGAAGTCTTGAAAACCATTTATTCGAAATTAGAACTGTGAGAATCTCTTATTATTTATTAATGGAAACACACCAACTAAGGCATATTCTTGGCTGCTCTAGATATCATTTGATGATTTTCTAGTCACATGATCTTTGTTGAAATTCCGGATACAGCGGTCAATAGCAATGTCCAGAAGACATCTCTTGTTAAAGTGTATCAAAAACGAAATGAAAATTATTCCGAAATGTTGCCACACATTATCCATCACCAGTCTCTAAAATATCGACTGCAACCGGACATTTTCTAAATTAGGAATTATCCCATAACATTGACCAAGTGAAATCGGCAGTGAGGATTAGAACTATACTCCTCACTTGGTCAACCAATAAACCAACTTTAGTTTCGCGTCACATCATGATATGCGTAGAAGATATTTTAGAGGCTGAAGGTATTGAGGTTCACGGATAGGGCGAATTATGCTAACGCAGGGTCTAGTATCCACAACTTACATAGTATTCGCTCCACGTATAACAAAGGCAAAGCAAACCATAAAATTTGACCGTCCAAATTACGTGTTATATTTCGGGACTGAATCAGAGTGCGAGATGATTACTTAACAAGCTAGGGGTCGTGCACGAACGAACGAACATTCCACGATGGCTTGCCAAATGGAGTGAATGCTTGACCAGATGCCTTCAGATAAACAAGTTGACTCAAACAGTGAGGGTCAGCATCCAATGTTCAATGATGAATGCTGTGGCCAATAATTCAGGGGAATTACCTACCGTTACAATATAAAGGCTAACACCAGGAAGACAACTGCAGAAGATATTTTCAATAAACATTCAAGATGAATGATATAGTGATAATAATAGTAAATAGCTCCATTCTTCTTCTGACATTAAGTGTGTTGGAATGAATTAGGCTGCGATGTGGGCATTATTAACTACAACGACTGACGATGATGAAGATGAAATCAACTTGACCATTTAGGCATCAGAAATACTGCTTCCGAAATCACTGAAATATGTCGGATTATCTGAATTCTTTGTTCAATTATACACTGAGTATTCAGGACAACTAAATGTCTTCACGATATCCACATGCATGCATACAGAAATCACAATATTGTTAAACATGCATGGATCTTTCTCAGCCCATGACCTTTTACATAGCAGTGTATGAATACAGTGAACAGTCAGTATTTATATAATTTTGTTTTCGTCATTGAATTGCACTGGATTGATTGGACACTGACCACACACTGGTTTGTGACAATCAGAGGAAGATTCCAATGACTGAAGGGAACTAATACATTTGCTAAACTAGCTTCATTCAACTTTGTATCGAAGGGGGTCACCAGTGAAATATTCTAACTACACTATATCCATTGAATAATCAGTGATTAGTAATCAGTCTCATGTTACGTACGCAGCACTTAAGGTTAATAATTCTCTTGAACTCAGCATAAGGAACTAAATTCGGATTTTCAACACAAATATTAAATGAGTTTTTCCGTGTGGGTCAGAAAGTTGGAGCGTCACGAAGAACATTCCCAACAGACTACAGATATTTCTGCTTACATATTTTGTCAGTGGCACACAAAAATTGTTATGAATCTATTCTTGAAATACAGTTTTGTTTAATATTTGCAGAATGAACTCCTCTGAAAAGCTTATATTATATTGTAAGTTCAAACATCGTTATCATTCCCCTATTATTATTGTTAGTGTAATAATATAGACGACACAGAGTGCTGTTAATTAGAATGAGGCAGATAAATATTAACTCAAAGTGTACAATTATTTGAAAATGTGACATTACTTATATTTTTTTAAGTAGGTAAATACAATAGTGATTTATGTTATATAATTTTTCAGGGTCAAGTATACTTTACGCTAAATTGAGAAAATAAGTGATAACGGGTGGCTACTGTTTCAATTTAATGAAAGAAATAAAACAATATTTTGTGATACAGTGTTCGATTGTAAGCGTCTTCTTCAAGCTTCAACAACAAATAATTTCGTACAACTTCAGTGAACAACAGTTTCCTTAGCTGTTCGACAGTTTAGTTAAAGTAAGTTGTTGTTCTGTCTCTATCCCACGCCTTTTCGAGCTCTGGTGAATTTTGGTTCGGACCAATTACAGTGACTGGAATGTATGGATGTCGTGTGTTTTTCAGGTATTCCTGTAAACAAAAAAAGATGGGGAGCAAAATGAAATGATGAAATACATAAATTGTATTGTTGACTGAATAACAGACGCCATTTTATAGTGAATAATATTTTCAAGCATTTTACTTTTTCAATGAGACATCTCATGTTAACATGAATATTATGCTTATTCATTAATATTGTCAAAAGCCATGATTCTTGGAAATTTGTGTCAACTTATTCTGGTTTATTTGTTTGACAGCATTAAATTCTAATTATTGTGTGAAACAGTTGTTTAAAAATGTAATAATGAGTTATTAGTTTTGCGATGAAACATTTTAGGCAAGAAGAAGAGAAGTTGAAAGCAAGAGGAGTTTGAAAGAACTGAAAACGTTCACTTTGGAGATGAGACTTTGCAGTGTACTGCTCGATATTGCGAACAAGATCATGAAATCGTTAGATTTCAACTAGAGGACAAAAGATGATTGTGTGTAGTTCACTAATACTTACAACAAGATGAAGTATTTATTTATCACTAATCTTTTCTTGCATACATTACTGATGAATATAAGGATTCGAGGAATGCGCTAATCTCATCAGTTGTGTAGCACATAGACTCAGATGGATGAGGTGAATCAGCTGAAACTACAGGAATTCCCGGTCGCTACTTTAGCGAATCGGTAATGCATAGAATCGGATTTGACTTTTGCAAATTAAAAATTTTGTCATGAAAATCCGATAGAGTTTATGGTCAACAGGAATCAAGAAAAGGATTAAGAGTAGACCGGAAAGCAAGTTTACCTTTTTTAGACTAATTCCATTCTACAACATAAAGCATTCTTAAAATCAGTTGAGAGTAGACACAAACGTATCTTCTGATGTCATTCTTCGAACAGGCTCATCAACTTCAATGCATTTTCGTTGCTGGGTACATAGGAAGGAATGACAAGAGAATGTTTATCGGCCCCACCCATCTTATGCCCTACATTAGAAAGGTTAAATATCGTTTTAGACTGTGATTTCCAGTCAAGTTATTGACACACAGAATGCATTTAGGATTAGATAAGCTTTGAAGATAACCAGTACGTAGAAACCATTTGCACTGAATTATAAAAAGCTAATCTCTGTATACGAAACGAAAATATGATTCACTCCTCAATACCCTAGTAACTGTTTTTTGTTTCCCTTTCTCGTCAAAACACTTGCTTAGGTTTTGATTTTCATTCGCTGAGTCGACTTCCTTATTAAGAATTTCAGTTTATAAATATCATTTTTCTTGCCTTACTCAAACTGTAGACTATCCAAGGATTAATGTGTCTCATGATACAGATGTACAGTGAATAATTCTCTTTCACTATATGGTAAATTCTATAAATATGTCATTTGTAACAACCGACTGATAAGCTATAAAATATGAGTTGACTTACATGTGAATAGGGAATAGCATTGTGTTTTTCAGACGGTGAACATTTACTTCCTATGTAAACAAATAATTCATATCCTGTATCAATGAAGTAGACATCATCTTCTCCAATCACACGCTTCGGTAGATGATTTTTCACTACTAAATCAAACGAGAAACGACCCTGTTGTTCGGACAACCTAGTGGCAGTTCAAGGAGAAAAATAAAAAGAGGAAGAAAGGAAAATAGTTGACATTAATCATAACTGGGTCCTTTTAGGCTTTAAGTAGTATATCAAATTTAGCTTCCTCCAATTCTTTTCATGTGGGATTAAAAATTTTGTATACTTATATTGTGACTTATTCACGTTTGAATTTATTCCCCTCTCCATTAATGGCCTGCTAGGTGACTGATCGCTACTATTCTGTAAATTAATCTTGTGCATAAAGTGAATCCAATCATTTGAGTATTCTGCTGATTTACAGAAAAACTCTGGATATGTCATTCAGCTGTCCTATGAATATGACACATGTGTTATTGAGAACTTGCTGCCTAGACTATTAAAGTGGCTACGACATTCAGAAACAACTCTGAAGCGCACATTCATTTGCCAACAGCTAACACAAACTTCTTCAGTACGAATCAAACGCTGCGATGGTAACAAGGGCGTTCGTTGTAGGTTTACCTTGAAACTCAACAGAACACAGTCCTAATATCTTCTGTCTTACAAGACTAAGAGAAAAAAGAGGACTTCTGCACACATCAACATGCATTAACAAGAAAGTAAGAATGGTATGTCTGTTTCAGTTAAATTTGCATTTGCTTTTATCTAATAATTTGATTCTTCTTCACAAACATAGGTATACTGTATTTATATAATTCCCTGTTGGTATGTTGCCTAAATATCATGGCAGGGTTTGACATCCTGAAAATATTTGCAATACTGAATAAAAGTGCACATGCAGGCCAATGTGTATATTGGATTTGTTTTTCAAAAACAACACTTAGTTTATAGTAGGTAAAAGAAAGTATGACATTGGTCCGAAATAAGAACAATTCACTTACTTGTAAATACATTTCGTTGATTCGTAATACTTCTTAGATTTATAAATTGGTTTATCTGGTAGATATTGTAGGAATTCATCCTACAAAATTCACGAAAAACAAATAGGCATAATAAAAATTAGTATTTCAAGTGTTAAATTAAACAAGGTAAACTTAACTTCTTTATGTATCAAACAAGAAAAGCTATTGAGAATATTGATGTATATTTCCTGAGGTGTAATTTAAATGCTGAAGTTCTGAGACGATCTTGACATAGTCACTTTTAAATCAGTGATAGTGAACTAATAAAGGGTGAGGGAGGGAGAAGCAAAGTAGTTACACATTCATACTTCATGCCTGTCGAGACCCACATTCGAATTGACGTACTGGTGAATGAAACTGAACAGAAAACTTCAGTTACGGGCGATAGGCTGGCTTGCGACCTCCATGTTTACGACTCGGTAATCTGCTGGTTGACTGTTATAATCGAGTTTCTAAATTTTGATTTCATCATAACCGCTGAACTATTCTAACAACCGCCTGTCTACATTAACCTGATCAAAAGCCATGTCTTTTTATTCCGATTTTATTCATATCAAATTATAAAGAGAGATGTTGCGTGCGATCGATATTTTCAGAGACGGATTTCGTCAGTGACTTTGCTTTAAGTGCTAAATAATGATGTATAAATCTACAATTGTGTCACTTAATGTATTGCTCACTATCAAAGGCTGAAAAGAAGCAAATAACGAAATTCAGATGGGGAAATGAGAAGAAGAATTGAAACACATTATAGTTCTTTGAAATGATGGTCAACTGATGCATGATAAGGTATACATTTACTCGGAATTCTTGAAGTAGTCATTATACAGATTAGTTAATCAGCCCTACTATGCTTTACTACGAACCACTGCAATTTTTCTGAACTCTCTTCTGTCACATTTCCACTTAGTGTTCTTTAAACGCTGTTCAATAATTTATTTTTTCAATACAATAGCATTTCTAGTTCTTAGTGTAAATATTATCAATTTTTCCCCTCTAATTCACATATTTCTTGACTCTTTCTAAAGACAATGAGGCGGCTTGTTTTCTAATCCTTTACAAGGTTTACTTCTTCAAATCACATTTGGAGATATATTAGGCTTAATTTATGATGCCTCATTCTTAATACGTAATTAATTACCTCTGCAGTGAAGATGTAAGTTAAATTATATTTCAGTCTTCAGCTGCGTTGTTTCTATCACAAAATATGTCTGACTGTCTGACTCGAGACGAAATCGATCATTCCTATTAGTTTTCAGTTTGGCAGATATTAAAACTGTTTGAAACCAAGATCGTTGGCGTTTTAATTTTATTATTCCATCTCAAGGCAACCGTTTTACTGTCGCCTGTGGGCACTACTAATGACCACGAGCAGTCTACAACTACTGTCGCTAGTTGCTAAAAAATAGTTAAGTTTTTGTGCGATTAATACACCGTATCATAACTGTTTTCGTTTCCTATTAAATATGAATTCTGTTGTAACAGATGTCATTCGATTGTATCAAACTGATTGAAATACTATTCCTGCATTTAGTACTCGCCACTGTAGGTTAGAAGGCCTACCATACCGAAATGGTTCATTTAGCCTAAGGTATTAGTTAGATACTAAAGGATTGATTATTATTCACTTATTATTCAATGAACTCATTTTAGTTAGAATATCTCAGCAGTGACTCCCTTTGATACAGAGCTGAGTGAAGCAAGTTTAGCAAATGTATTAGTTCCTTTGAGTCATTGGAATCTACCTCTGATTGTCACAAAGCAGTGTGAGGTCTGCAGACCAACTGCGACTAATCAATCAAGTGCAGTATTAAATTTAATGAGGAAATGAAAAGTACATTATTGCAGACTGTTCACTGTCAGTATGTCGGTACACTGCTATGTAAAAAGTCATGGGCTGAGAAAGATCCATGCATGTTTAACAATATTGTGATTTCTGTATGCATGCATGTGGATGTCGTGAAGACATTTAGTTGTCCTGAATACTCAGTATATAATTGAACAAAGGATTTAGATAATCCAACATCTATCAGTGATTTCGGAAGCAATATTTCTGATGCCTAAATGGTTAAGCTGATTTCATCATCATCATCATCGCAGCCTAATTCATTCCAACACACTTAATGTCAGAAGAAGAATGGAGCTATATGATATGATTATTCTGTCATTCAACTTGAATGTTCATCGGAAATATTCTCTGTAGTTTGTCTTTTTACCTTTATATCTTCCACACATGTCATGATGCGACGCGAAACTAAAGTTGGTTTATTGGTTGACCAAGTGAGGAGTATAGTTCTAATCCTCACTGCCGATTTCACTTGGTCAATGTTATGGGATAATTCCTAATTTAGAAAATGTCCGGTTGCAGTCGAAATTTTTAGAGACTAGTGATGGATAATGTGTGGCAACTTTTCTGAATAATTTTCATTTTGTTTTTGATACCCTTTAACAGGAGATTTTCTTGAGGACGTTGCTGTCGACCATATAGTCAGGATTGTTTATAAACATTGTATATTTAAATAATCACCAAATAGTATGTAGAAGAGCTTGAAATGTATTCACTTTTCATATTTTAGGACTGAGGTCAACCGAACCGGCTCTCTAGTCGAGGTTAAATGCTTATTTCACCAAATATCTGAATTCTGAATCCACAAATCAGTAATCAAACACTGGAAGGTCATTTTTCATTTTCCTGGTTCCTACAGAGGTAACGAAAGATATTTTTCCAAGTCCTCATTTACGTAGAAAGATGTGATTATGAAAGAGCCGTATATCGGTTACATAATGGTCTTCAATGAGAGGATGGATTAGTTGCACAGAGTTGGGTTCACATGGTGCTAAAAAAACTGAATACTGTCGACAGTCAAACGAACAATAGGTTGCCTGAAAGAACTGCTTTTGACAAAGTTGATTAATGATCGAGAAACACACTACAACTATTTGTGAATAAAACAACTGTGCTAATATTTTATTCTTATACCGTTTTATTTTGACATAGTATGCTGCAATGTTCTAACTTTTTGTGTAATCCAATCAGAAAACAAAACATTCACTGTTCACCTCGACAGTCCTATGTATACCAAAGATCAGACAGGCGACCAGAAAGTTTAAAATCCAAGTCAATAGAAAATGGTCAATACATATGTAAAGGTGGTTACCGGGAGACGCAATTATATTACTCATGAAGAAATTTAAATCATTTCACTTTATGCTAAATATTGCGCTGAAGATGTTGTCCAGAAGGACGATGAAAGCTTCGCAACTAAACCAACCAGCTCAGAGAGTACTATTAATTGCAAATCATCCACCTGAGCTCCAAATCTTCTCCATTATTTCAATATCAAACAGTCTTTTGAGAAAGCTTTATGCACTTCATTTGGAGTATGAAATAATTTCCAAGGGTAGCATTTCGCAAGATGAATTAAGGGTTAAAATAACAATATTTTCTTTTATTCATAAAAGAACAGGCTTACTCTAGCATCTGTGAACATTTCATCCAATACGGCAGTTTTGCATCTTCCATTCCGTTCACTATTAATTTTTTGTAAGAACTGAGCAGCCTAAAGGAAACAATGAGAAGAGCAAGAAAAATATCTAGGTGTCATCGTATTTTCTATTCCGATTTCTAGCACTTAGCCTATTGAGAATTAATATGATAAAGTTTGTGCAAAAATGAGCATTTATACAATTGCTTACACTGAATTCTTGACTTCAGGGTATGATATTTTGTTGTAAATCATAGTCAACAAGAGAACAGTTGAGAGAAACAGTTCGCCAGCCAGTTGATTTTTCTTTCTGATGTAATTTACACTGCCATCATTTTAATTAACATATGAATATTAATCCATTGTATATCATTGTCTTTCTCGTGTATAGATATCTCAGAATTTGAATGAAAACTGATCATAAGATTTATGAGTTCAGATGAGAACAGATTATTTCTGATGGCTTCTTATGATGATGATACTATGACGCTAATCGGTACCAAATGGAAATCCTAATCACATAAAAATTTACAATTCTGACCCTATCTCTTGTGAGTTTTCAGGAGAATACTGTAGAAGAGTCACAGAAAAGAATACTGTTGCTCAGATTCCGGTGTCCATCTAGTTGATCTCAGTTTGTGACTAAGTCTGCTTGGTGTTAACCAAACTGCATCTATGCCAAGCGTGTGAAATTACTTGATTTTTGCAAATACAATTTAGTGTGACATCAGTATGTTACGAATTCTTACTCTAAGATAAGTTTGGAAAGCTACAGTGCTTAGTACAAGAAACAAAATTTGAGTGCTCGACGTTAGTATCAAGTAAGTGCTTTCATATGGTTCAAAAACACCACGAACAGGTTACTGCAGACTTTCATCAAAAACTGCTTTCCCTATATGATGAAGATTAGGTGTCCGGCCAGAAAGGATAGGCAACAATGAAATTGGGAAGCAAACCGGTCAAAAATCTGTCGATTAGTAAGCATACACAATGAAAGTGAAAGTAAACTGGGCATACGTTGAGAAGACCATTTAGTTACATCACACGCCACGTCCTCAAGTGGAACCTGAATGAAAAGTGGCGAATCGGGCTTGGGTCCAAGGTTGACATAGAAGAGATCATGATTGGGGAAAATAAAAACTTGTGGGCAGTAGTGAAACTGGTTGAAAATGATGAAGAGCACCGCATGTAGTGGGGATGTGCCGTTGAAGCCATGTGTTCACCTCAGAACGTAATAATGTTGGGAATTCGCACCATGACTTAAGTATTCATGACTGAAGCATTACTACATAAGGTATATGGAGAATTAAGAACTTCAAGTAAACCGATATATCTGATCACAGATAAACTAAATCATACGAAAAGTCTAATAGAAAAGCATGTATGATATATTTTGCTGACTATTCCAAAAAACAATATAGGTCACACGTCAATATCACTCAAAATAAGACTGAATGAACATGAACAGTTGACTAAAATTCATCTCACAGGAGCAGAAAACTGTAAAAATTTGAAAAATTTCCCTCACTGTTGATTCATTTTCGGGATAACACAGTGACATTAAAATATTTGCCTCTTAAGTGTAATATATTTACGAATTTAGTACGTCAGTGGTTCATTGATGGGATACTCACCAGCTATAAAGGACTTCCTAGTTTTATTCGCCGTCTACACACTTCTCATCCTGAACTTGTTTACTGGTCTACAGTTAACCTGGCAAATAGGAGAGGTTAGACGTGAAACGAGCAACTCCGGTCCGTAAAAGCAACACCAGTGCCTCTAAAACCTCGATGACTGAAGCTGCATATCCCACTCGGAATACATAGAAATATATATATATATAATAATTTTTCCTTCACGTTCCCAGTGGAACATAGGGCTTCAAGCTGGAGGCTTGAAGTTTCTGTAGCAGTGTTTATTTTTACAGGATGGGGTTGCTAGCCTCATGCCCAACCTTTCCTCTTTACCAGCTTTATTTCTGGTTTAGCGAGGTAAGGGAGTGCGTCGGCCGGGGATCGAACCCCGGACCGTGTGCATGGTCGGCGAGCGTCCTAACCGCTATGCCACCGACGCATATATATATACATATATATATATATATATATATATATATATATATATATATATATATATTGAAAGAATAGTCGATGACATATTCCACATTCATCAGTTTCACCCCACAAGAATTGCAACGAAGTTGCCTTAATTCCATAATAATTTGTTTTTAAAAATGGGGTTTTGAGGGGAAATGTACGCACACAAGACAAGTAAAATGTCAATTTGGGTCATATTTAGTAATTCCCCACACCTATATAAAACGCTAAGTATGATGATTCAAGCGTACTTGGAACGTCTTTAGTGGGTTTTTTTTTAATATCAAACAACCCATTAGTTCGAAAGTCTGTAAAGTGTTATATGAAATAGGTGAAGAAGGATGTTTTCAGGTTTTTATTTTGATCACTTTGAGAACAATATTCGCAAACAGATTCGTGGAAATAGTGTAAAGTTATACGCCTTCTTTCCTTATAATAGTCAACCGACTATACGTAAGAAAAGGCGAATACATTAAAACGTTCCAAAACATCTCAACAAGTTGTCGCCTTTCAGCACCATATGTGTAGCAACAAATAAGATTTACTGTCTCTGGTATGAATAAAAAATGTGAAAATTAGTATGTATGGAAACTACAAGTGTTGTGGAACAAAATTATTTATATCACAATATGTAATCTCCTTGGTACCATAAATGGAAATCAAGAATGCAAAACGGTATTTACTAATGATTAGTCAACATGAGTAATTGTATGTCACTCACATCAACCAGCAGCACTTACTTGCTAGCTACATCGAAGTGGCCTGAACAGTGGACAGGCCATTTCGGTCATTTGGGGTTAAGCTGATTAGTGGTATACCCGGTCCGACTCAACTTAGACAGCCGAAGTATTTTCAGAACATTTTCAACCATTTATGTGCAAATTAGTAAGATGAATTTATGAAGTGATAAAACGGGAAACTTCCACATGTCTACTCCACTGAAATTTGATAATTACTGATCTATTATAAACCAAAATAACAGAACAGGACCAAATTTCCAACCTGGCTCCTACTGTAAGCCACCTCCAAACAATGATGATCCCGTTCTATGTGACCATATGTCAATGTTAAGTTGATCATTTTGGTCATATATATTAACAGGGAGTGAAAAGCATTTGTCAATAATTCCAAATAACAAATTTTGAAACATTTGTAATTCAAATGGTTAACATTCGTTACTTTCGCCAGATTTCAGTACCTAAATTTTAAAATTTCCATTATTTCGTGTTACGTTTTAAGGCAGAAAGCCTCCGTCCACTACCTCTGTTCCTGTTAAGAATTAACAAAATGGCTGTTTCATGAACTGAAACGGTAAAAAATGCATTACACGCTAAAGTCTTCATGAATTCAGCATGAAATTGTCTTACATTGTAACGTTCTTCTTTATTACTCTTTGATCCATTCCACTGATAAAGTTTAGTACCAAGATCCAAAATAAAGACGTCTGTAGAGTCTAATGAGTTGATTGACAGTTCAACTTCTTGAACTTCACAATGTGCTTTTCCATCTTGATGGAAATGCAGTAATCTTGGTTGATATTCATTCGGAGTAACACGACGAAACCCTGAATCAATACCTCCATTAAGTATGCTGGCAAAAAGAAAGGAGAATTATCGAAAGTTATACAGCCTTATTACGCCATCTTGTTAATATAAAATTTGTATGTGATCTGAACTTAAACAGTAATGCCTGAAGGTGAAAATAAGAGTGCCGTATTTGTCTACCACTTGCTGTACAGCTAAATGACAATTTTTGCATGAAATTGTTTGATAAGTGAATTCAAACTACACACTGACTTTCAGCTTGTGTAGACTACCGCATGTTCAGTTTTGTCTCCACCTTACTCACCTATCTAGTGAGTACTGACAATTTTACCAGATATTCTCGCTCATGGTTAATAATTCACAGTTCAACCGCCATTTCGAAGTTTTACAGTAAGTAGACGCCTCTACCTACCGACAGCCTCTTTTCAAAACTCATTAAGCCAGTCTTTGAAGTTTTTGGCTTCATGATTTAAATACTATCAATATCAATTACATGACAAATGTTCTTCATGTTTTTATTAGTCATCTATCAACCAGTCAACAGCATAAAAGTAGTAAGCAGTAATAATCCTGGTGTTTTTCATTTTATGTCTTTGTGTGTAACTTACATACAAAATAAAATAATCTCCAATGATTTCATAACTTTTTGATAGCTGCTGACTGGAATCTATCTAAAGACGGTACAAGAGCAAGTGGCAGACTAGAGGAGTTTCAGACATATCTTATTGGTCAGTGGGTCAGTAATAGAATATTCGCCAGTCATACGGGAGTCTCTTGTTCAGTACCTGGCCACTTACATCTAGATCAGCAGTTGACTGGCTAAAATTGACCCCTCAAAAGGAAAGTTTGGAACCCCACCCTTAAAAATAACACTTATACTTCTGGAAAATAAGAGCTTGAAGCCTTATCTTCTTCTGGGAAAGCATAAAATGTGAGAAAACTCTACTAAATCACCCATAAACTCTGTGAAATTAACTCACTCTGTAATGCTAAATAGAAAGTCAGTCTCAGTGTCTGCTAATTTTGATGAGCAATTAGTGTGAAGTTATTATGTGTGATCGTACACTGCACAGTTATGTGTTACTAAGAAGAAGAGTTTTACTTCTTTAACGATATTGGCCTAAAAGTCCAACTTAAATATACCGTAATAGAATTTGTTTGTGCATAAGTAAGTGTTAGGATTTATGGATAACTGCTTTTATGTAAACTATACTATTCTTGGTAAACTATTTCAAAACAAGACGATTTTAGTAGAAAGAATTTATCATTACACCAACCAGTAATCTAAACCACACGGAATGCAAGATCACATAAACTTTAAATTTACTTCCAGGAGTCAGTTAGGATTAGGTTGAAATTCATCAAGAAGCAATATCAGCTGAAGAACCGTTGAAAACCAGGGAGTACTGAACAGTCATCTCGTCATTATTTGAAACCCTTTAGCAATTTGCATCCCTGACACCCCTAAATATTAAAATAGGGACCCTCTTCATAAATCCATACTTGATAATTAATTCATACCACACTAGCTACTAACTGCAAGATGTACTTTTTCTGGTTGTGCTGAGAATTCACGACCTCAGGCGTCGATCAATTAGAGCGTGAGAACAAATAATTGTCGACGATATTGGCTAGCGGCAGTACTGTATACCGCTTATAGACAAAAGTTAGAATTAGTGAACCAGTGGTAAAGTACTTCCCCGAGTAACTTGAATTTGTTGATGTCGATCACTAGTGCAGTCATGGGTGTGGCTCATAATGAAACCCACCTGAAAAATGTAGTGCCTCCTATACACTAGCCACAGAAATATATGAATGGGTTGTGTCACAGCCAACCAAAAGTTATCATTGTCAATAAAACGTAACTTAAGCTTCTACTAAAGGTAGCGGACTTCTGTTTCCCTTACTACGCTAGAGATTTAATACTCGACCGTGTTTAGTAAAGTGTGATAGTAGTATATGATTTACTTTTATCTTCTGACATTTCAAAGGCACTGTTTATTTCTGAAACCGACCTACCGGAATGATGGAAAGTATGATTTAAACAGTTTCGACTCATAGTGCTCAACTTCACGATGCTGAACGGCTTGATCGTCCAGTAAAGCATCCAGTTCTACTGTTTTATAGGCAGCGGTCGCGTATTCATCCTGTTTAAAAGAATTTGAAGGTTAGTAGATAATATATTATGTTCATTAGGAGACAGTCTTTATAAACGATTGAAAACGACAGACTACAGTATATATTCTGAAATTATTTGTGAAGCAATAAATAACTGTAGAAACCAGCATGTGGGTTGTTGCACTTTCACACTTATATCTCAATCTCCGCACCCCAGGTAGTTATAATTCTTCACTAACTTAGTGCACAACCCTTCGTTTGTTGAAATTATTGGCGCTTTGTTTACAGTTCCACTGAGAACACTATTAGTTAGACATGTCACTCAGATGGCGATTCTTGACTGAAAGGAGATGCGCGTCATCAGTTTTATTTCTACCCACTATTAAACAAATGACAACAAAATGAAAATTTTGGGAGTATCAAGCCACTAATATGAGAATTCTCATACATCTAAATTACCACGATCATTTCAGTCTAGCAAAGATAACAAGTTTGCTCAATATCTACAGTGTCTTACAATCTATAAGTAGTAACAGGGTAGTACTGAATGTAATTATGAAAATATATGAGACTTTAATTTCTGCGAATAACTGTTTGAACTCTATACGAAAGTTCACTGAGTGGGATAATTCAGGATATCAAATTACCTGTAACTTTATATTTCTAGTGAGATTGCATGAGAAGGGGCTGTTACCATTGATGAACACGTGTGTAGTTCTGAAATCACTACTTTTGTAACTGTTGACATGTGCTGTTCCATATGAACCAAGCAACAACACTGGGGTATTGAATAAATCCAGTTAAAATTTCAAGTTTTAGGATAAATATTAAACGTAACTAAAGAAAGTTACCTCAGTGTGTAAATATATTTAACTGCTTCTGCTGAAGTAGATATACTGGCAGTTCTCAAAGAAATTTACCTTAAAGCATTTGTGAATAACTACGAGTTCGACGAGGAAATTAGTAATCAGGTTGGTAAACAGTGTCGTCTTATCTAATTTAGTGAAAACAGAACATCACATCAAAATAGAAGATGCACTTAAGGTCGCATATTGATTTTAGAGGAATCTGCCCGAAGATATGAGGCAACAACTCAGCTTTAGCAAAAGATACAGGAATCAACAAAAAGAAACCTATGCATTCGAGAAAAATACACTCACCTATGTTTACGCTAGCTTACCATAATAAGCAAATCATGCATGTATTCATCTCATTATTATAGGTCTTATTATAAAGTTCTACAGTTTAACATTCCCCTCACTCCATCTCATTTTGTTTACTACAAACCGTTATTACTATGTATTGTCAGGATTTTTATTAAGCTCTTCCTATGTCTCTGTTACCTGGTTACTGAGATCTAATCTGACTCGATTTGTTTATAACGTATTTGGACCACTCTCAAATCTGTCATTCAATACATACAATATAGATTTCAGTTTTTGTGATGTTCTTATCAGAAAATTCGCACATATTTATAAACTTAAGATGCAGTTTACTAGCCACGTCATCTCCAGTAGCTTGGATTGACTCAGTGAGAAAACAGAATTATTGATTTGCAGTAATTTAATTTATCCATCCACAGATTAGAGATAAATTTCCAGTAATTGATATTATGGTATGTGGGTGGTCATTGGAGTCAGCTGAATCCACTTTGAAGAGAATCAATTATAGATGACATCAAAGACTATTTCTGTCAAATTACAAGTTAAGTAAAGTTGGAAGTCATGGATGTTCTGGATGGCAACCTGTTCGCTGAATGGTAGCATTCTTACCTCTTAAATTTATGGCACATGCATGAATATTTCTCAGTTTCATGAGTTCTTTCTCTTCAACAGTCACAAAGAATCAAAAAACGCCTATCCTATGCTATTCTGTCTTTTTCTCAGCCTCCATAAAATCTGTCTAAAAAGAAATTCTTTTTATTTGTTTATTAAATTTGAGATTAGGATTGTTGTATATTTTGCATTTTTGATAACAAGAATTAAGTATCGATTTACAGAAAAGAAAAACTTTGCTTTCTGTGGTGAAATGAATCAATAACTTTTTTATTTTAAATGTCAAATGTAAACCTACTTATGTATTATTAGTACTACCTAATCAGTAATATTTAATACTTGTCGTACAATGTGATAAAAATAAGAAGAAATGCTTATTACAGTGATCAATAATGCGATGACATATATTTTTTTTAAAATAAAATTAATGAAATTGTAATACAGTCTGAAAACACCAAAGTTTACTCACCTGAGTACTTTTTGATCCAATCCAAAAGTGGACATCATAACCTAAGCCTCTGTGATCTCTATAAACATTCAGTACAATGTATGAATCTCCGTTAAAAAGTGGCCATAGTCTTTTTCATTAACTGGTCTAATTTTGAACTTCTGTAATTAAAAAACAAAACATACATTTATACAAACAGAACATATTTGCAATAATCACGCAACGTATTAGTTGCACACTTGGTATGTCTAAAAGACAAGTGTTAGGAGTTGTGTGGCCAAGGTTTCTGATTTGTTTTCTTTCCTTCACTTTCCCCAGTGGAACATAGGGCTTCAAGCTAGTGGCTTGAAGTTTCTGTAGCAGTGTTTATGTAACAGGACGGGGTTACTAGCCTCAAACACAACCTTTCCTCTTTACCAGCACTATTTCTGGCTTAGCGAGGTAAAGGAGTGCGTCAGCCGGGGATCGAACCCCGGACCATGTGTATGGTTGGCGAGCGTCCTAACCGCTATGCCACCGACGCACAGTAATGTTTCGACCTTAACAGTGCCTAACTAATACTACGTAACTGTATAGTAGTTTATGTAATTTTGAAATTTCGCTTTACAATATATCGTCTTATTTCATTACTTTGAGTTTGATAGCAGTTTCAATAGCAGTGATATTGTTTTTAGGGAGTGGGGTTTCCAGTCGTGGCGGATTGTTGCTATTTGACCAGTAAAAAATCTACGCATACCAGGTGGAGTACCTTTAATGAAAGAACGTGAAGAACGGTAATCGCTGTACATGCTTTAGTGTTAATAACCATGTAATACGGTTAAATAGTGTAAATTTCAGGCCTTTAAAGAATGAAATACAAGCAAGCCAATTAGACGAATGGTAATTAAAACGAGAAAATAACCATATATTTGGGAGTTATACAATTATTCTGAAGTACTTCAAACTAATCAGATATTTGAGTTGACATTAGGAGAATTTTTCGTTTTAAAAACCAGTTTTCATCGACTGTAAATCACAATTTAATGTGAGATCACACTATGAAGCTAAATAACATGAGCCTTCGAGACGGACATATACACATATTTATGTCATTTTTTCCTTGAAAAATCGGTTAAACTCAGTAAATTCAGGTAACTCTTGTACTACTCTGATAATTGCCTTTACTGTGAGACATTTAACAACATAACAACATTACTAAGAAAAAAACCACTGGATGCCACTCTAAACCAGTTACTATACAGGTAAATACTAAGCCTAGCATAAATTTTTATTTAAGTTATGCGTGCTGTAGATACAGAAATAGATTTTGGATATTGTGGTAGAGTATAATTCCATAGCAGAATAATTTTATTTAATTAAACACACACCAGTACAATATTATTTTCACCGATACACAATCACACAGTAGGGTGGTACAGAGCTACCGTTCTAAAATGTAATATATGTGATCACTTAATCTATGTTCATTGAATCTACACCAAACACATGCAACAAGGGTGATACGGTACCAATACCAGAGATACTGAAGATCTTAATGCTAATAAAATCATGGAGTAAGAAATGACGGGATTATGTAAACAAGGTGTGGAAGTTGTGTGGGCGCCCTGATATGATTATGTACAATAGAGTGTTCTCGAGATACCATCGGTACATAATTCTAAAACATTGTGTTTTTTTCATCCAAAACACTTTGTGATAGGAGCTGTGTATTCCTCTTACTCCTGAAATTTTTCGTAACATCTAACTTCAGGATTTGTATTTCTATAAATGCGTATTTTAGAAACAAATAACAGCATTCCAACTCAAAAACCAATCACTACAGAAAATCATTCAATTACCTCAACTCTCCATACATATACTTTTGGACAGCTACAACTTAGAACTGGACGCCAAGCCTCTTCTGCTAAAGCGGATTCCTCTGCAGGTAAAAACATGAAGAAAAACAATGATTACTGTTAAAGAAATAATCACATAACATATTCTTGAATGAAGTACAATTCGTTTGAAAGTAATTACTCACTGGTTGACACGATAGCTATTTAAGTAGTATGCAAATGGTAACGGTGTAGCAGCCATTATGGTTTTTCAAATCTTCAAAGTTGAGCAGAATACATTCCTCAACCTCAGTGTTTCGATACTGCTTTACACTTCGGTACTCTTTTTAATATTACATGTTGGAAGTCATTGAACAGAAATCCGTGTTCCATTTATATTTTTCACTTTTTGAAGTTTAACAACAAGCCGTATCTTTAATCCCTAAACACTGATGGTTTATTCAGGACTAGACTTCGTTTGACTTGAGATACTTAACAACCGAGTGATTAATTTTCTCACTTTATTACTGAGAGGAATATACGCCAATTTCCTAATAAATGTGAGTTCCTTCTAAGTCCACAGATGAATATACTTTACTGTTGAATGCCTATAAACTAGAAATGCAGGTGAGACAAGATTTCCCAGCAACCGACTCATATCATTTATTATTTAGACATTGGTATTGACATAGTCCTGAGAATGTGAATTTCATGGAAAATTTCATTTCGTTAAAAACTCATAAAACTTCATTGTATTTGGATAAATTCATGAATGATAATAAGTATCTTAACCTAATGTAAATACTATTTCTCAAAAAAAGATTCACTTCTCTTACCTCTCATCTTTCTATATTTAGGAAGCAGATACAAACTTGCAGAAGGATTTGAACGAGAATAAAGCTATTTTATTTTAGTTGACTGGTGTATTTGGTGTAAAGAGATAGACTGGAAGTTAGGATGTGACCTCAGTCAATAAGTCTGCAAAGAAATCAACTAGTATTCATGGCAATGCATATTTGTAAAATGCACTGACATCCACTGCGAATTCAAGCCCTCACATAATAGTATGAGTTTTAATGGAACTTTTTCACTTGATTCAGACATTATCATCTCAACTGGCAACTAACAGAGGTGTATGTCAATACAGACCGTCGTATAATTAATGACAGCTTCATTCAGCCTTACTTGTTTTCGGCTAGTTGGTAGCCACCACAGAGTTTGGTTGTGTGAATTTGTACCAACTATTGCCTTAAGAATGATAGAAGTTAACAAAAAGAATATGATTATATCTATATTTACTAAACATTTTCAGACTTTTGACGGCTTTTGGCCTGTATGCTTTACTAGTAAGCACAGTATTTTAAAGACTCTTTCCAAATGGACATTCTCTAGACGCTCCGAATGTCTATCAGGATGGTTGTCGAAAGGAGGATGTAGAACAGTCAACAGTTCAGTTTTCCTTCTAGTATAGGATGAGAAGTTAAAGATTCAATAATGTCCCTGTATTTCCAGGTGTTCGTGTAAGGACAGGTACTCCCTGATGAAAGTGGCTGGCAGTGGAGCTAAATATCTCAAACTGGCAGAGGTTAGAACTCACGAGCCACTGGCTTTCTTTCTATTGGCTGAGTATTTAACAGGGTAATCATACAACCTAAAGATGGAGAATTCTATCCCCAGGAGTTGTCATGGGTGCGTGCTGACAAAGAGTCCCAAAAAGGAAAAACCATTTGTTGATTGCTCACTGATTTTCAATGATTAGCCAATCAACGTCAATTTGTTAGCTAACTTGGAAATTCCAATAATTTTAAATTCAGAACGCAATGCAGAACTCTAGCAATGATTAGCCTAGACAGAATTATTGTTTGAATTCAGAAATGATGAAAGTTGGTTGGTTTATACAAGGTAATCTAAGATCATCCCCAAAGAACTGCTTTTAAAATTATGAATAAAATGTGCAGAAGACTTAAGTTGCTCGCGGATTTCACCTGCTTTCTGTTTGGTAACCAACGCAGAGTACGAGTTAATAAGCTGTGTGAGCCAACCGTTATCTCAGTTTCCTCTTGATTGCAATCATATAAAGTTTTTCTGAACTGTAGTGTGGATGAGTGGTAGATGTATATTCATCATAATTATCGTCATCACCATCATCATTCTTCAATAACACTGAACGTTGTTCTTCTTCAGTTGACATTTTCCCAACGTAAGACTAAGGCACTAACATGTAGTTTGGTCTTTAATAGATGATAAGTAGTATCACAATCCTGAACGACTTTTCAGGTTTAGTTCGACTAATCATCATCAAAAGAAGGTGAAGTCACATGTACTACCTGAACCTCAACCAGTCATCTGTCTCTAACCAAAAAGTATTGTTTTACTTCTCTGTAATGAAGACATACTTGCGTTTTGGGATATGGGAGAAGATTTCTAGCTTATATGGTTTGTTTTGGGTGTTGTCGGAACTGGATGGTTTAGCTGAGAGGCTTTCACTATTCCAGCGGATAACATCTAAAGCTCTAGCTTAGACTGAAGTTAGTAGCAAAGTGTGGAGATTGACGATTTCTATCTCTGTATTGTTTAAATACTTACTGTTGATTGTTAATATGTTTCGTATATGAATTGCATTATAATTCCGCTAAATACAAATTCCTGAATTCCCCCCCTCTCTGTGTTTCGGTTGAATTCTTGTAATTCGGTCATCTCGAAATACTAATACTACGATTACAAATAATTACAACACAAAGATATTTTTCAGAAGAGGATGATCAAAGGTTGGCAATTAAATATACCAACTCCGAGAACACAATAACAACATAAAAAGCAGACTACGGCTTATTGCAGCAATCAGTGATGTAGTTAGAATTAACCTCTAAAAACTAAAAATCCTTCATCTAACAAGATTACTCAACACATAGAACTTCTTGCGGTGAATGACCCACAGCAGTTAAACAATCTAGTCGCCTTGCCACACAGTATGCAATTGCGTGTGGCAAATAAAATGAATGTTGCAAAATTAATCACTTCTTATGGTGATAACGTATAGCATTCGTGAGACCTACTTGTTCGCATTTAGTGAGTACTACTGTCGTTCATACAACACAACAAACTTTTAGTATCAACATAACAATAGACAGAGCCTTTTGTCCTCAAACAAAACTATGAAATTCCTTAATAAATCAATGAACACAGACCGCTAATATCACACACAAACACAGAGTGTAAACACCAGAACATCATGCACGTATAAATATACTTCTATACAAATATGTGTATTTCACCAGTGTACCACACAGCGTAGTAATAATAATTAACAACACAACCGTCAGTCATTCATGCTTCTGACGTCTTTTACTCATTCTTTTTATTTACACAAAAAAACTGTACACATTCAAAATAGTACTAGGCTGTTGAATCTACTGAATAACTTAACAGTTATTTTTATGTTAGTTATATTTTTAAGGTTTCAATCTATTGAATTCATTTTAATTACTGTCTGTTAATTCCCACGTCGTTTTGATATTTGCTTTCTAATGTTTAAATGGACACATTCAAATTAGTCACATAGTTGAATATTCATTAATTATGTGATATTGATAATGATGAGCACTGGTGATGGGTCTGTGTTTACTCAAGGTGATTCCTTCTCTTAGAAGTAAAACGATCAATAATAAATGTTCAAAATTGGTATTATTTAAATCAACTATTTTATTGACAATAATAATAACAATAATATTACGAGTATAACTGACTGGAAGAGTAAGCGTAATAATAATAATAATAATGGCAGAAATTAATAATCATAAATTAACAAACGACTACACATTCTAGGTTAATCTATCAATGAATACATACAAATCTCATTAAATTAATTTGACTGGCATGTAATCACTCTGTCGACAAGAGAGCGAAAGGCAGAGAAAGTGAGAGACAGAGGTAGAAGGTATGAATGAAAGAGATAGTAATTTTGCTGTATAAAAACTTGCTAGAATCCTGTTTTCTTCAATGTGAAGTTTAACATTTATTCAAGCAAAATGTGTAGTTGTTTTAGTAGTCAATTGTGTGTTTATACGATTAACACATTATTCTTGTATTTAGAACAAATGCAAACATACCAGCTAGTTATATAGGTACTCATTAAAACAGAGAGCACGGCTCAGAAATTCTTTGGTGTTCTGCAATGTTTGATATGGAGTTGTGAACACTTTGTCAGTGTGCTTGGCAAGATTTGCAACAAGAATTTAGTTGATGTTAGTAAGACTGGTAATAAAAACTCCAAGATCGATTATCAAAGCTTGGAGAACATTGGGAGAAATTCCAGCCATGTCCTAAGCTAATTATCTTCTCAGTTATTATTCTGAGTTTGTTTACTCGGAGTATATTGTTCTGGTTTAACATAGTGAACAAGATGTAGGCCTGTAGTATTGAGCTGTCATTCCCTTCGCCCTTCTATAATTTACCACAGAATAATTTCTATTCTTCAACGAGATATTTTAGAATTAACAGTTTCTTTTATTTACCAAGCTTACATCATTACCAACACTGTCTATTATCTATTTTTAAAAATTAGGAAATCAGTTGTGATATTATTTTCACTAGTTTATCTACACACACCTTTGAATTCCTGCCCCATCCTTTCGAAACATTAATGTAAGTGACCACGCTATACATCGAAATTTCAGTGTTAAGTATTTGTAGATTAGATTCAAGGTGTTTGTCCGTAATGCCTCTTTGAAGCTTAACTTTCAGGAGAAATTGGATTTTTCATTTTGAAAATGACTTCTATCAAAGATTGAGCTCATTCGCAACCAAGTCATAGATTGGTTTGGTATAACGTTAAGCATTTGGTGGTTATGCATAAATATTCATGTTAAATGAAGCAGAGAAAACAGCTTTAAATAACCAGTGTTTCATATTCAAGGTTAACCTGAGTGTTTTAAGTGGTACCTTCAGTAGAGGGAGCGGATTAAGTTAACTTAACACACGATAGTTTGACATATTATTCAGGTACCAGTAATACTTTTAAAATTTTTACACCACAGAGCAGTTATATGGCCTTGATTCAAAAAGTTTGGTTTTCATTCCACAATCGCCATTTTAGCTGCATTGGCTTCCACGATAGTCTAACCGCCATCTTTATTTCCCTTGATGACGAAGTAAATTTGAAGACTGGTAATGTCAGTTATTATTCTTTAAGCAAGAATGAAGAACCTGTTACGTTCACTATCTTGTGAAAGTAGTTGGCGGTGATATCTAGATTGTCAATGAAAACTACACAGTTGATACTTCGAGACTGGATAATAAAGGAACTAATTCAGCATCTGCATACAGAGACACGATATCCAACTGAGGCCGCTTTGTTATATGCATGTAAAAGCACAGTGTTTGGTTTTCACAGCTTCTTAATGTGCTTTGGCTAGTTACAACCGCTGATTTCTACTGGTTCATTATCACCGACCAACAATATTTGGAAAAAATGTCAGGTCTGTAGCAAAAAAAGTAAATGGATTTGTGAAAGGTTTTCTGTTTTACCTGACTGAAAGCCTTTCGAAAGAGTGATTTAGGGGCTGGAGATTCTCTATTTACTCTCTCATGTATATGTTGTTAATCAGTCAATTTATTACTATGTCTATCACTGGTAGATCTAATTTAATCTCAGTAAGTGAACGGAAACACTTTTTGCCTCATGAAGCAAATGTAGTTTTATAGACGGAATAGGTGGTACAGGAATGATCTCATTGGAACTAATAACAAGATATCAGTTATCCTGATATGGTAATACCTCAGAGGGAAAGAGTTAATCATACTGACCCCTCTGATCGATCTCAATGATAATTTTGGTTTTTCTAAACAAAAATATCTACATTCATTATGAATGTTTCAGATGACGATCTATATTAGCTCGTTATCACCATCGGAGCATGTGTTTACGTGATACGCTTTTCAAAAGAAATATCTTGAAACCAGATCAAACTAATTTAAGAGATTATTGTTGTTTTACTCAAAATATGATTTATTAAGTTAGTGATTCAAGTCGCTACAAGTTGTTCAATTCTATCAAAGTCATGTGAATCAAGTCATGCTTTATAATATGTACATTTCGGTTAATTGAAAAGATGGTGGTATTCATAAGCATTACATTACTCGATATTAAAAAAAATTAAATTACTAACTATCCACATGTGAACCACAGAAATTAATTATTTGAGTAGAATTTTATCAAGAACCGTGGAATCCAAATTCTACGACATATTTTAGTACTTTATTTTAAAGTTGGGTATCGTCAACTAGATAACCCTCGGAAACCACTAAATACTTCACGTAGAATACTTGCGATGAATGGAATTTAAGGTCATTAGACTTAGACTTGAGGATAATATCTTTCTGATATCTGGTTTGAGTTCAGATACTTATGCAACCCAACTCATGCCAGCCACTAACGTAACATTGCTGTAGACAAACAGTGTAGAAGAGGTCTAATCCCCTTGAAGTAAACTTTGGTCCATTGCGTTTTAATTTCCTACAGTTATTCACATGATATTGGTTTGTAAAGAAACCCTAGCTTGGAATCAGTTGAATCCTTGTGAACCAAATAACTTTTCATAATCAGCTCTATAAAAAATCCTAATGTTTTACATTTCACATTATTTTTACTATAAATCTCATCGAATAAGCAGTGTAAAATGATATATCGGTAGTTTGGTAAGCGATATACTTGTGTTTGTTTAAAGATGGCCAGGGAATTTGCAATAGATGCAAGCATCAGATAAAGGAAAATTCATTTGAAATCTTGTCCTTATAAAGATGTAGATAACTAAATCTAAATCAATGAGAGTTTTGAAAAATCCACTTCAAACAATGTTTTAAAGAAAACTATAGATAAATCTATTCTGTACAGCGCATTGATCTCGACGTAGAATAGACAGCCTAGTTTGAAAATATATCTGACTATCAGTCTGGGACATCTGTTACAGGTGACCCTCAATCCAACTAGATTTTAATGTTGTTATTTCCCATAAAAATGTCATATCTTCGATCTTCAGCAAACTCATGTTTCTTTGGGAATTGTACTTTTAATCCATTAAGACTTTGAAATAACCTTTACACAAATGGGCACTATATGTATTTCTACAGATCATCAACACTTGGTTACCGAGAGATTTTGCAGAAAATATTGTTATACTCAATAGACTGAATATTTCACACACTGTCACTGATGTAATGGGTGGCGACTGAAGGTGAAATGAAAATTTGAGTCTGGTTACGGATTCGAATCAGTGGTCACCGGATTGGCAATTTGGAGGTGAATGTTCGTGCTTATTTGCAATCTATCCCCTTGTTGATTAGTATAATATGAGAAATGTTGAGTTTAGGCGTAAATTTTAAAGGAGGGAAAAGGAAGTCATCAGATAAGATTGTGAAGCTACATGGAGAGAGATGGCTAGAACACGTGTTGAGCATTCCAAGCCACCGCGTTCGTCGACTGAAAATGTTAGCCGACATACGATATGGATGGTAAAGAATTGGGGATGGTCAAACCAAAACCTTGCATCAAATTTTTGACAGTTGGCTAGAGTGTTGGGGATGCTAAGAACTAATGACTGAAGGCTGTTGATGATAGAGCTCAAAATCGTTGTCGGTGACGCAGGTGCATTCACTTTTTGTGATCTCTGATATCCGTTAAACCCTCATGTTTCCCATGTTATTTTTCTTTCTCCTATACATTTCTGTTGATTATCGATCTTTCACATTTGATTTTCTCTCTTTTCTCAACTTTTGTTTGGTAAATGGAATGTGGAAACATGAACTGCTGCACTCCTGTGCTAAGTCCTCGATTATGAATAACTCAGGTTTTAAGTGAGTCATTTCAAAGTCATCGGTTCCAAACTCTGTGTGACCTCGATTTCCACTTCACCTTCAGTTAATATATATATATATATATATATATATATATATATATACCAATAAATAACATAAATAAAATTGTCTTAGGTACCAAAAACTCACTTTTCACCTTCTTATCTTCATCGCTGCCGAATAAAGCTAAATTTGTATCCAGCCAAGCATAGTCTTTATTCTGTGTAGATAATGCCATTGTAGTAGTTGTTATTGTTTGACTTGTTTAGTGATATATTGTGAAAGTTAGATTACAGTAAATATCGTTAGTTCTTCTAGATGTTGAGGAATCGGTTGGGAAAAAAGTATCCCTCAAATGTAATGACTGTGCGAAACACTGGTAAAGACAATAGTTATAAGTGTATTTTCTCAATCAGTCGTATATATATATATATATACGACGTAAGTGTATATATGCACTGACTAACATCTACTAAGCGCACGTCATGCACAACAATTGGTACTGTCTCTTATTAGTTAATGCTGATGTATTTGTATATGTATGCGTGTCTGTTTTTTTTCATATGTATGCCTCTTCATTATTTGAAATAATTAGAATAGTTTTAATTTATGAGAAGTAAGTGTACACGCTTAACTGACTCAAAAAGCTTAATTAGTTTATTTATTTATAAGTAGTATTTGTGGTTTTTGAGAAAAAATCTACGCTATTCACACATGCAGATTATTAAATGCCCTGAATAATGTCTGAAAACTGAAACAACCGATACTTTTACTTGGAGGATGGTTACTAGCTGTAGAATCTATGATGCTCATTCCGTCCTATTTGGGACTTGTCTGATGGATGTACCTGTATTCCCCAGTGAGTAATGGTGTTCCTACTGAAGCTCGAAAGCAGCACCCATAGTTCCCAATACCAAAGCGTTGTCCACTGAACCGCTACCCTCACCAATTGTGCGACGGGTGTCAGTTACTGTTTGTTTAAGTCAATTTTGTTTTTCGGAGAACACATATAGTTGCTAGATGATATTATTTCATTGTTTCCCTACAATCGCTTTACAGTGAGTACGGTTGACAATAGTAAGTTGTTTGACGGTTAGTCAGTTATATAAAATAAAAATGCGTATCATATTTTCATGGGTCAAGTAGTACAAGGTAGGTAAAGACTGAAATCTGTTGTTTACTGGATGTATTTGGTTCAACCAAAGCTCTTCCATCACCTTGAACTAAAATTGTGTAAAATGATTGAGGAACAATCATGATTATTGATTTTGTGACCAGACATGAAATGTTTTTTAATGGATAATGTTGGATTTCTATTCAAATTAAGCACATTTAGATTTTCTATGCAACTTAGCAGATATCTAAGGAATATGTTATTTCCAACGACATTAAAACATTCTATTGTTTTTGCTGTATAGAGTGTGAAACACGTACTTTTATTTCAAATAAATAATTAATTGTCAGCCTGGAACAATTTGGATTTAGTAAAAGCAAGCCATGTACGCATCAGATTGAAATAATGAACATCGTTTTCGAACAGAACACATAATCACAAACAACAATCTAACTCAACTTCACCGACTTTGAATAGGCATTCAATAGAGTTGACGGTGAGGTGATTTTGAAAATGTTTCAATACGGGATGCCGCAATCTCATTCGACAGCTGTATTGCGATGCCAGGCGATTTGCAGCGATAAGCTCAAAGATACCTTTGAGATGACAGGACAGAGACAAGGCTATTTACTATCACTGGTGATATTCTTGGCTGTGGTAGACTAGATCACACGAGTGATCATCATGAGGGAAGAAAAGGGAATACAGTGGCAGAAGAATCAGAGAAGACAAGACTTCAAGTGAACAAAGAGATGACAGAAGTGATGAAGATGCCTAACGAATAATAACAAGCACCAACCACCATCAGAGGGAGAAATCTGAAGGTCACTTCTTCCACTTACCTTGCTGTGCAACATTATTTCAACTACAGGTGAAATGAAATCGACGTAAGTGACAAGATTCATATCTTCAGCATGACTGTCAAGTAAGTTCTTCTATGTAGTTCAGAGACGTAGTGCGTAAGTAAAAGTATTTCACTAGTAGCTGTTTTACTCTAGAAAGGATTAGCAAGAGGGAACCGACAACTTATCACCCAATAAATATGCTGAGGGAAATAGAGATCGATAGGACACACTATGAGAAAACTGTTGAATTATGTCCACACATAAGGCCCTAGAGTGGAATCCGAATGGGAAACGACTAGTTAGATGTGGCTACTATGGCGATATAGGGGAGGTTGTGTGAGGAGAAGATGAAAGCCTATAGACAATCGTGCAGCCTGTAGTAAAGGATCGAAGAGAACTGGATAAAATGAATGTATGTTGAGGAAGCTAGGTGTCCCATGCATAACTCAAAGTAATAATATTAGTAATAAATTCTCAAACAATTCATCTCTGTCAACCATAGTGGCTGTAAAGTGATTTTAGTGAAGCTGCAAAATGATACCATCCTGCAATAATATTTGTCTTCCAAATGTCTTATATAAATATATCTGAAAATGAAAATTGTATAAATTTCAACTGGTATCCTCAGTATAACGTATGTTCTTGCGATGAAAAGATATTTTACTTCCTACCACAAACCATGTTTATGGAGCAACAGCTATCCTTTCTGAAGTGCATGAATGAGAGACAAAACAGTTTTAGATGAACTTTATATAACGGTAATGGTATTAGACCGGGATTGCCATATTTGTTCTTAGTCAGTTATGACTGATAGTGTTAGTGGCTCATAATTTTCCAATTAAAGCTGTGAATTAAAACCATCTTTTTCAGGTAATCAGGTAAGAGTGAGAATTGAATTCTATCACACAACATAATTCGCTGTCTAAATATCTAAATAGCGAAAGAAAAGCACACTCAGTAAGAATACTTTGCCATCTGACATATAACAAGTTAAACAGCAGATAATAGCTAGATTTGAAAACTTGGAAACCATTTACGTTAAGCAGTGGTGCTTCATAGTCAGGTTCAGGTGATCTGTATATCAGGAAGTCATATACACTCATTCGGGGACTAGATAATCAGTGATTTACCTGCATATACTGAACCCAGAGGTCTGGATCAATTCACACAACTAGAACTTGCATTGTTGATTTGCAAATGATGAAAGTGACTTTATGGACCACTAGTTACGTCAAGCAGATACCCGAGACTTCATTGGTTGTAATCAACGCAGCCCTCTCATTTGAGTACTATTTTCTGTTACAGAGCAAATCACGATCCGAATGTTTCCGGTCTCCATATGAAACCTTGGTAATTATTAAAAATCTATTCCGTGTATCTTTTGCCTTCAGCTTATTCTTATACTGACTGCTAACTGATCTCATAATTTGAACTCACTTATATTGCTTTGAGAAAGCCATTAGCACTATACATTTATTCTTCTTTATGAATTTGAATGAAGTAAAAACAGCAGATTTTGTAGAATAAGATGGTGCCATAGTTTATTTTTTTCGGCTTCGCATCAACTGAGTACAGTCTGATAAAATTAAGTTTACTTACAAAACAGTTTTGACGTACTTGCATATATGATATTAAGTCAGTCATTAGACGATGAGAAACCTTCAACTGTAAATAATCCCCTAAAATTATTAGAATAAAGCATTCTTCACTCAAAATTAGATGCTGACCCAAAATGTTCAAGTCGACTTGTTAGTCTGAAGGTTCGTTCTCCGTAGGGTCTAGAATGGTAATTTTGCATAGTTCCTAGTAAACGTAAAACAGGCACACTGGGTACGTCTTTTGTTATGAATAAAATCTCTGTTCTAACCAAACAATTTTTTCGGAATTGGAAACACCTCTTGACAAATATCTTTTTAGCATACTAATTCTCCGGTTATATATTTTAGAAATTACGAGAATTCTCATTCTCATCTAGAAAATATTCCATCTCACACTGGCAACAGTGTAGAAGATGCCATTGAAGCATACCTCGTAAACTGCATCTCTAGATAATACTTGGGCCCGTTCCAATGGCTCACGGATTCTAACTTCCGCCGAAGACATTGGTTGGGGTCTCGCTATGTCGTGAATTGGCAGAAGTTAGAATTCGTGGGCCATTGGAACGGGTCCCGGTGGCTTAATGGTATACGAGCTCGCCTTGTAACCAGAGGGTCCTGGGTTTGAATCCCAGCGGGTGTGTACTGATGAAGAGTCCTAAACTAGGACGAAACAGCTGTCTAGTACTCCTAGGTTTTCCAATGGTTCTCTAACTAATGTCATCTCATGATGAAAATCCTGTAACCAATCAAATCCCTACAAACCAACACTTGAATATTCTGATTTTTCTATGCTCTCAGCAGAACAAGTACTTTGGGAATTATCGGACAAATACTTGTGCTTGTATACAGCATATTTTGTGAAAATGTCAACAGGCTTCATCTTCTAAAATCTGAATAGACAGTTTCACAAATCTCTATCATAGTAATAAACTTCATCATCCGCTTTACACAATAAAAGGTCTACTTTCCAAAGGCTTTCTTCGTTCATGTTATTCATAACTTCTCTTTTTTTCTCTTCAATTATTATTATAGGAATAATGTTTGAATGTTATGAACCATTGGTGATTGCTAATGAAAAACACCCCAATTTTCCAAACAGTTCCTCACTAGAAAATAATCTTGGTTATAGCGACAATCAAGTGTTGCCAGTGACGGCGCCCTACAATATAAGAGTTTGTCAAACTGCACTGATCACGACAAATACAACCTAAAACGGTGGTCACATGCATGAGAATTAGTTGGTGAGAGGTACTCAAGAAGACAGGTTCAATTAAACACAAAACTTGTATTATTCAAAAACTGAATAATCTGGGTCATGAAGAAAATAAAATACAAATTCAGCGAAAAAAATTTCCTTATCGACGAAATCATCTTCAGAGGCTGTACAATCGTATTTATATTCACCAAAAACGTATAGCGGTCCATTACTAAGTAATAGGGGGTGACATAATTGATATAACTACTCGGAAGTGGCTTTAGAAGTAAAAAATAAAAGTTGTAAATTACGTGATACACAATGACACAAGGTTAGAATGTCGATAAGGGTAAAACTGTTATTGAATGAGAATAAATGTAGTTGAGTGTCAATTTAACAAGTGTGAAGAGGGTGTGAAAATGTACAAAAGGAACATATGGGAGTGACAATAGTGAATTAATTATTAAAGTAAAAGCAAACTAAAAG